TGTTATTTAATCTGTGATGTCATTATAATTTTAGAAGTTTCAAAGGCTCCAATGGTCTGTGCTTGATGACTTTGCTTTTATATTAGATATTCACATAAATATATTAATTAAAAAGAGACAATATGAAAGATGGAGTAGAAGCCAAATTCTGTTTGCTACTACATGAAATTAAAAATGTAATTATTTAAATTGATAAAAATCTGAAGAGAGAAAACACTGAAAGAATAAGTGCTAACAGTTCTAAGATGAATATGCTTATCACTCAGCTAGAATATTTTAGACTGTCATTTAGGCAGGATTTTAGTTTTTGTTCTAAATATATTTAGAAGTAATTATGCTAACTCTGTAGACTGAAGGTTACTGTTAAATTGTTGAGATTAGTCTACTTTTTAAATAAGCAGGTTTGTGGCCAAAAGAAATTGAAAGCTCTGTGAAATCCATTTTGTACCTTAAAGCAGGAAGCTGGGAGGAAAATAAAAAAACTGCCATTAGAGTGGCAGGGAACTCACTGGCATACAGGAGGAAAAAAAATGACAGAACAATGGGTGAGTACAGAGAAAGGAACACTGGTATTCAAAAGTTAAAAGCCCAGACCTGCAATCTACTGCATGGTAATATTGCTCCTTTGTACCTCTGTACCAAATTACCAACTCGGAGGCAAATTTTACCCCACAATATGCAACTTGGCACAGCCATAATGAATCAAGACTAAAAACACCAACAGGAGTACTTGAAAAGCATGGGAGGTATAGAAAGCAAGAAGACAGTAGTGTTTGAATGGTCTAAAAGCACATAACCATAATAAAGGGAAGTCTTTTAGAAAAATGAGCCATTGAGGCTGACCATCAGGGAAAAAACAAAATTAATCAGACAGAAATGTGTCTAGAAGGTATCCTATCTTATGAGATGTTTAGAACAAGACTCACTGAAGTGGTAAAAAAGGTTTTGGGTCAAAAAAAGGTATTTTTCTATTTCTAATTCCATTTGTTCCATGGCACTTCAGAGAAAGAATTTGGAAGAAACAATGAAAAGAAGAAGTGAGAGGTAAAAGCTGTCTAGAAACAGCAGCCCTATTCATATAGGTAGGAAATGGTAGGAGCTTTCCAAAAGTGGTGAGAGTTGAGAAAATGCTTTCATACAAGAGTTTCATGCAGGCAATATATAAGGAATTAGAAAAGGAATACAGTAAAAGTTTTACTGCAGTAAAAGACCTGGGGCATAGGCCATAGACATTGGAGAGGAAATAGAAATGTACCCTGTCTGTGCTCTTTTGTGTAAGTAGAGTTGTACCTACAGGTTTGTTGAGGGGGAAAAAAAAAATTAGAATACTGGATTTAAAAGAAAAAAATAATAAAATCATAGGAGGAGAAGCTGTAGTTTTATGGCAATGCATAGATTCTCAGGGTAGGCAGAGGTGCAGAACAGAGGCACAGCCCAGCCCTCTACAGCAGGGTCTGTGCAAGGGCAGCTCTATTTAGGAGCTGTTGTAGCCCCAAGTGAAAAAAACAGAAATTCAGACACAGGAGGAAGAGCAGAAAGAGAAGGCTCGGTACTGTGTGGTGCCAACAATTGCAGATGGATGCCAAAGTAGACATCCCAAAAACACACAGCACCACAATGTGCTGCTACATGGAGCCACTGCAAAGCACAGATAAGTGCTGCTACTTTCTGCCAGGTTGAAAACTGATAAAACCTCAAAAAAACCCCATGTTCTTTCAACAGAGCTGTGTGGGGCCAGGGAAACTTGACTGGACTCAGCAGGGGCAGAGACAAGAAAAACAAGACTGTAGTTATCGACCTCAGATTAATAGTTATTTCACTGCTACATTAAAGGCATTGTTTGACAAAGCTGGAAAATAATATTTGCTGGCAGAGTCACAAAGCATTACTTTGATATGAAAATGTCAGTGAATATCTCTTTCAATTATTCTTCCTTTCCTATTCGAAAGCAGTGTTTATTTCATAAAAACCTAGTATTATCTCAGTTTAATTCAGAGAACTACTCATATCAGTGAAGCAGAATAAAATAAGGTTGTGCAAATTATTACAAAATACAAAACCCATTTAGGACATTTAGGAATGATCTTCACAAAAGAAAAGAAGGTTTTAACCATGCATAACAAACAGGACAATAAATCTTTAAACACTTAAGTAAAAGTTTCCATGAACTATTTAACAATCTTCTTTCATTGAAGGGAACACAATATTTTCAAATCATCTCGCAGTAACCTAACACCTTTAACTTGCACTTTTTACAGAGCACAAAAGCTGCTATGTCTTGACTGCAGTGAAAGTGGTCAGTTTTAAACACAGGTTCTGGGTTTATCAGGAGCCCAGATGTATGGGCACTGTACACATAGGCTGAGCATACAATGCCATCAATTATGTGCTTAGAATTATCTCCCTCTCCTTAATAAAACCAAAGCAAATCTGAACTTCCAACACCATAGACTAGGTGGCCACCAAGACAGAAAAATCTGAAAAAGTAATCAGAGTACAGTCATACATTTCTTTTTGCATCTTTTATAAAAACACTTGCACACAGTGTGGCTTTTCTCCCTGTCCAAAATATCCACAACTAGATCAAATAAGTCCCATCCTACTGCTCACACAAGCATTTCAGGAGTGGCCTAAGCTGGTCCCAGCACTCTAAGAATTGCTGTAGTAGATATTCACACACTTCATACCCCATTGCTGCATTGCACCAGTTCTTCACCTCTCCTCTCACAAGCACTTGGAGCTCCTGATGCAGTGATCTTACCAGCACTGTGGCACAGCTAGATGCACACCAGTCTGCACATCATCCTTACGCAGCCAGAGGAAGCAGAAAAGATGCTGCCATAAAATTTGGGGGATGTAAAAGGAAGTCCAAGGCTGAGTGATCTTGTCGGGATAATAACCAGGTTGGGAACAGGTAGTGTTGATAATGCTGAAAATCAAGATTCACACGATCTCCATGTTTTCTGAGAAAGAACAGGGTAAATATTTGCCAAATGTAAGGGAAAGCAGTTCTTTCCCTTCAGCTGGGTCAGAGGCCAAGCAATGTAAAACTTAGGGAATGTTTCAATATTAAAGGCAAGATTACAGTATGCTAAAGCATGCTAGTAGAAATGCAGAAAGAGTATTTGCAAGAATATCATCACAGTAGAAATGACACATTTCTACTGAGAGGGAAAAAAACCTACACCAAACAATCTGATTTTGGAAATCAGAAATCCACTTTTTAAAAAGAATTGTAGTTGAGATTACGTGTGCAGGCACAGTTCCTTTAATTTTGATGTGTTTCTGCTGGTTGCGGATCTCCTACAGGGTACCTTAAACAGTCAAGGTTATTCACTTTGGCAAGCTATTGTAAACTTTCTCTTCAATTGGAAGTATGTGGCTTCCAAGATACAGAGACAGTGGATGCAAAGAAGTATGAAAGATGGAGGTCTTCAAAATGGGCATATGCAGAGGTATGAATTTAAGATATATCTGACAATTAACTTGATGTTTCAATGACAGATGATAAGAGCATGACCACTGGATGATAACAGCTATGTAGAATGAGTTCTGCACAGCAGAACTTCAGTGGTTATGTGAAAGACTTTAAAAATCCCATATCTGGCAATTTCTAGTTAACAACAGTTATCTTAGAAAGCGTAGAAAATATTAGGTGGTTATCAGAAAAAAGTAATGTGAGCAGTTTCACACTTTTGATCTGCCCTTTTGTAGTTTTTACACTTTCTTTAAATTTACCAGAAAGTAGTGTTAAGAAGAGAATGGCATGACAGCTTTACCAGATAACCCCATGCAGGTCCCACTGCTCTCAGCCCCTCTGTGTGACCCAAGAGCAGATGCAGACTTGCCCTGCAGAAAGCAGCAGCCTGGGTAGTGTTTCAGCTGGTGCCTGTGGGAAGAGCTGACAGTGAGGTATTCCTGTTAGCATTCTGCAAAGAAATTAAGGGGGTGTCTGGGATGATGATTATGATGCATCAAATGGAATCACTTCCCTGTTGGATTATGCTAAATCATCTCTGACAGAAACCATTTATCCCCAAGGCTCTTGGAAATATTTTTGAGTCATAAATTCTTTCTTTAGAAAGGGCTTGATCTTACCAAGGGCAAATATCTCCAAAACATTACCATGTGAAATAATACCCTTTTATCCCTTCTCGAGCTTCCTACCAATCACACCATCAGAATCAAGTTTTTATACTTACACAATATCCACACTGTTATTTTCCAGCAGCAGTCACCTAGTACTATTTTGTTTATAAAAAATCTGAAGTCTTGCCCATTGCCATAAAAAGGAATATTAAAAAAATTCTTCAAGCTTCTTTCCTGCTCAAAACAGGCATGCTCAGGGAGCACAAGTGTAAAAATAAGCAGTATTTGGAAATCCAATATCAAGTACAGGCATCCTATCACTGACACTGAGACAAGTTGTATGTTGATCTTTATTCTTGCAATTACACTGTCTCCAGTAGTACTGAAGACCTTTATTCCTAAAATTTTCTTGACTAGTAGGAGTCTTGAAATAGCTGAAAATGCTGTATGATTGTGTAGAAATTTTCCAGAGAACTAAAAAAGACGTTCTTTCTATAATTGCAGCTTTGTCAGAGATAAACAGGCAGCCAGAGCAGGAACAGGCTGAACAAGGAAAAAAGTAAGGCTAGCAGCGGGGTAAGAACATTAAGGAGGAAAATTAACTAGCACATCAGAAAAAAACAAAAAATTCCCAACAAATAATGTGCAAGCAAGGATCAAAGAGTATGATGATCATGATGAGAAGCAGAGGCCAGGTCTCTGCCCAATGAACTCTCATCACTCCATATTGAGTATGAAAATTTCCCAGAGTTTCCCCATTCTTCAGTGATTAGAAAAAAAGTAGGCAAAGGGAAGGTAAAATTTACCTTCAAACCCCAACAATATTTGCTCTTATTCTGTTAGAACTAATGTTATATCTCAAGATAAGGAAGTTATTTAATTAATTGAGTTTTTTGCTGTTAGTTACTTACAATGTGTTCCTCATTTTCCTTGGCTTGAAAAACGATTTGCAGAAATGCTGAGAGCTCACAACTGCAGCTGGGGATTGCTCTTGTACTCGGGGAACTGCTCAGTGAGAATCACGAGTGTAAGTGTTATAAACATATTGTCCACATATAGTGTTGACTAATGCAAAGTATGCTCAAAAGAAGATACCACGCAAATTCCTTAGGCATTACAAAACAGGGACACACAAAGGAGCTAATTTCATACATTTCCAGTGTCATAGAATGATAAGATGGCATGGCTTGGAAGGGCCTTGAAAGACCACCTTGTTCCAGACCCCTTGCCATGAGTAGGGACACCTTCCACTAGACCAGGTTGGTCAGAGTCCCAGTCCAACTTGGCTGAGATATTCTCCCAAGAATGGGGCATCCACAATTTCTCTGGTCAACCTGTTCCAGTGTCTCATCACTTCTAACATAAAGAATTTCTTCCTGGTGTCTAATCTAAATTTACCTTCTTCCACTTTGAAGCTGTTATCCCTTGTTCTCTCACTCCATGTCCTTGTCAAAACTCCCTCTCCAGTTTCCTTGTAGGCCCCTTTAGATATTGAAAAGCGCTATAAAGTCACCCTGAGCCTTGTCTTCTCCTGAATAACCCCAACTCTCTGAGCCTGTTTTCATAGGAGAGGTGCTGCAGTTCTCTGAGATCGTTTGTGGCCCTCTGGACTCATTCCAGCAAGTCCATGTTCTTGTGTTGGAGACAGCAGAGCTGGATGCAGACACCTGGGGGTCTCAGACAGCAAAGCTGAGGGGGAGATTCATCCCCATGGATCTGTTGGCCATGCTGCTTTGGATGCAGCCCAGGATACCAGTACCCCAAGTCCTTCTGCTCACGGCTGCTCTCAGTGCGTTCTCTCTCAGCCTGTTATTTGTGCCTGGCCTTGGCCTGACCCAGCTTCAAGACCTTTCACCTCAGTTCACAGCATTTTTCTGAAAATAAGCATATTTTTGAGTGCAGATACTAAAACCAATAGTGCCATGTCTCGAGAGAATTTTAAACAGTATTTAACAGGTGATGTTTAGACACCTCTGCTGAAGGACAGGGGGAAAACAAAAAAAACATCTGCCCAACAGGCAAGCACTGCACATGTGTCAAACAAGGTGGGGACTCACAGGCAAAAAAACTAAACACTTTCTACAATCCCACTCTGGCAATTGCTAAGAAATGTGGCTTTGATTTTGTTATATCAGGGTTTTTTTTGTGTACATATTGCAAAAAGTACATATTGTTTACTGCCATAAATTCTTGAATTCTACAAAAAGGTTTCAAAATTATATCCACCTTTTATGGGATTTTCCAGCTGAGAAAGAAAGTAAGAAAAGGCAGAATTAGTACATCAATGGTCACATTACCACACAGATTCCATGCATGACTATGTCTGCTCATCCTCAAATAAAGCTTAGTTTTAAAAAGCATGAGCTGACTCAGCCCTAAAAGGGTTAGTTGGAGGGGAAAGGGTAAGAATATTTTTTTCATTCTCATATAGAGCTTTAGGTTGAAGATTTTATGCTGAGTATGTATGGTTGATTTAGTTACCTTAAGCCAAATACTACAAAAGTCAGAACATATCAGACACACACAATTCAAGTGTTGGTTAATAATGTATTGGGGAAGATGGGAGAAGAAACAGGGAGAACGAGAAGTGCAGATGAGAGAAAGGAGACAGGATATTTAACATTTTCTAAACATAAACAAACACATGCTAAATCAAGTTATATGATAAGTTCTTTGCTGGCTCAACATATTGCGGTGATTTAAGAAACAGAATGCTAAGACAGAGATGAAACATTTGGAGACTACATATGCTAGCACATAGGGTATATGGCATTACAAATCACTTGCTTACACAGAGTGAAAACCTTGTGATTTTAAATGTTGCTGTTGAGATATAGGTAATGGTAAACTACACTACATGCCTGCTGCCACAGTACCATTCAAACCCACTTCTTTCTTACCACTTCCCTATCCTTAACCAGCCCTCAAATAGGGGAAAAAAAGGAATAAAAAAAAATTAAAATTACAGCTCACCTTTTGTTCCCATGGAAGCATCACAGATGAATAAATACAATAATTTACTGCTTCTGAAACAGCAGTAATCACCTGGTAAATATACTGAGACACATTTGTCTTGTTAATATCACTTGTATCTGCCAACAGTAGTCTTGAAGATTCCCCAGGGCATAGCAATTAAATCTGCAAATGCTTCAAACATGTACAAGGCAAAGTATAGCATATGGATCTGGGTGTCTGGGTCTCTCTACAGAACTTGATAGGAATCATGGATTTCCTATTTATTCTGTCAAAAAAGAGTTATGAGCTGCTCATCCTCGGGTTGGAAGGTATCCACAAGAGGACTATAAACTCTCCATTTAGAAGGATGCATTTCTGTACTTTGAGTATTTATAGGTGCTATGACATCATAATGCTGGGAATCATAGTATTTATGTGTTTTCTGTAAAAGACTCATTTACAGTAAGGCTATTAGAGAAAGTGAAGAATACTTGCTTGCACATCAACAAGTGCTACATAAACACAAACAAGATTCATAACATAAAAAACCATACTGTGAGTCTAATATTAAACACATAGCTGGATAGTAATTTTATTTTTGTCATGACAGAGACACAGGAGGACACGAAATACAGGGAAATAGATACTAAAAAATGAGAGAAAAGAAAGGAAAAATGTTTTACTAAATATACATTAGTCTTCTGTTCACCTGCCATACTAGCTGGCCTTCAGCTTTGTCCTGCAGTTTTTCCTGTGACACTCTTACAGTGTCCAGCAGCATAATTGATACTCTCTACACCAAATGTGAGTACACCTTGGTCATGTCCTGTGAAAATGCTTGTAATCTGAAAAATCTTTTGGTTTTCAAGGCATGTAATAAAATAGTTGTCATACATGACAATTTTGAATGAAGTTGCATTTATTAAACAGAGAATGTTAGCAGAAGAGAACAAATAAAAAGAATGTCATATGAAACTAAATTTTTAGTGAATTTGTCATCAGTATTTATGTTAACTCTCATCAAAACCTAAAGAGACATGTTAACACTGGAATCTGAGCAGCCTGGAATCACACTGGTCTTCAGTTTCAGAGAAAAGCTGCTTTAAATGCAAAAGCTCTGATTTCAGTTCTAGTGCTGATTGTTTCCTTTGAAAGTATTCCTCCCCACACCCACCCTCATCTTTCTTCCAGATGTTCATGGAGCAAACAACAAGTGGTTTGGATAAATTGATGCATACAGTTGTAAGAGGAAATTGACTTCTATTTCATAAGATTTTTTTTTGTTCGGTTTTGTTGTTAGTTGTTTTTTTGTGTGTGTGTGTGTGTGGCCAGGATGCAAAAGACTTTCTTATTGATCATTAGGAATAGACTCTAAATGTCATGGTAATTATTATGTCAATCCATTATTGAAGGCTGCCTCTGCACAATATGAACAATGTCATGTTGTGAAAAAGATGCACAATCTATACATGAAACTGCAAGATATAGCAATATAGCAGAAACCTGTAAAGGAAAGGAACTTCTGCAACCTGCACAGGCAGAACTGACCCTTTCTTCCAGAATACTCTCATGGAAAGTTGTGCAGCCTGAGCTCCACCTCTAAATATTTTTCCTTTTTCCTTCCTTCTATGTCTTCATGTTCTCTCTGACTACCAACCAGACAGCCATGCGGATAAGCATACACTGCTGGCTTGCAGTCACACTAAGGAACATGATAGACTGTAAAGGCATAGGGCATTGGATCACCCCACCTCCTTCCCCTTTAAAAACTCAAAAACCCACAGAAAGAAAAAAAGAATAAAAGAAAAAAAAAGCCAGCAAAACAACAACTAACCAACAAAAAAGCCCAAAAAACCAAACCCCACAACAAACAACAAAACTCAAAACCAAACCAACACATACACACTGTCAAGCATAATACATATATGAGAATAATAATACATCTTGAGAATAATAATTCTCAAGAAGAATACATTGTGTATATGCTCTCACACATCTGATTATTCCCTACTGGCTACAGACAACCATGAGTTTACAGAAAGCCCCATCATATATTTTTCTTTAAAAAAATCAACCAAACAAAATGGAAAGGAAAAAAAACCCAACCATATCAGGCAAAACTATTCCTTCAAATACCATTTCTAAATTCTCTTTTTCATCTCAGTGGATGGAAGGGAGCAAGATCTGTCCTAATTAGCTCAGGGTCAAGGCTAGAAATGGAGCCAGGGCTGTTCATCTGCGCCCCAGACAGTACATTTTGTGAAAGGCGGCATCAGAGAAATTGTTGCAATTAGTTTATAACTGCCTGGTGTGCTCTGCCCATACTGAGCTGGATTAATCAATCATTAGCAGCCTTAATGCTGAGACTGAAAATCCACTAGCAGAATAAACACTAAACAGATGGCAAGTCCTTGACGCTGCAAGGGCAACCCAAACCAAGCTCCAAGAGCTCCTTCCTTCCAGGCAGGCATAATCCCTGCTGGGGAAGGAGGAACCAGCAGCAGCTGCAGTAAGGGGGTCCCCAGCTCTGTGCACAGCTGAGTTTTCCAGGATATCAGTGCTGATTCCCTGTTCCTGAGGGAAGGCAGACCATGGCTGCAGGGAGCAGGCTTGGCAGCCGAGATAAGGAGAGGCAATCCTCCCTGCCTAAATCTCGTTACTGCCTGACCACCAGTGGGACCTGCCGTGACGACTGATGGGGGCTGCTGGGCTCTGCTTGAAGTTATCAAGGTAAAAATACCTTTTCCAAGGGGAAGACTATCAGGAAGAGCACAGCCTAATACATAGATAACTTTGGTATTGTTACCAGTAATAAGGCACCTACCAATTATTTTACAGTCAGTGGAATTGTTGTTCAACCTTCCCTGCCCAGAGGTAATTCTGCAGTGGAAATGCATTTGTCAGAACAGATTCCTTCCCTCAGGTACCAGATATACCAGCAAAACAATGATCAATTACCCTAAGAGGCATTTTCTCAAACTTGTTCTATCCAAAATCTCTTACAGTTACTTTCAGGCATCTAAAAAATGGTTGCAATTTTTCATGAAAGACATTTTCAAAACACTAGG